CACTGACAGGGGACAGTGTTACAACAGAGTCAAGAGTTCATCAGTACTAATCAGACCACAGGCTTAGAGCTGATCCTATTCTCTTCCAAAGCTTTCACCCATCCCTGAATCTCATTACATGGCCTGTTGTAATAGAGGATAATGACCTGGGGCTACGCACACAATGCTGATCACTCCCCCACACTCAACCTACTGCACAGTCATTATACAGTGATAATACACAACCTTGCCAGGGGGATTACACTTACAAATAGAGGAGAGGTGATGAAGGCAGGGGGAGAGGAAGAGACATCTAAGTAGTAACATAGAAGCACATATAGTATACACATATAACCCTATGCCCAGACACAATTAGTTCACGGTGGTAGGCCATGTTGTGCTATTTTAGATCACCTGTCGCTGTAATAGGAGAACTCTTTTCTCTGTAGTCATTAAATATCCTTCTACCTGAGATTAAAAAGGGGTTGCAGTTTGACTGAATTGTGGTATGGCTCCCCTTTGCTAAGCTAATTAGCCATGACTCTGTCAAAGGCTCCAGGTGTTGAATATTCTGCTTGAGCAGCTTCTGAATCCACTCTAAAACAGCTATAGCCTTAAGGAGGGGCATCCTCTTTCTGGGTTTTTTTTTTATTATTTGTTTGGGTTTTTTTTGTATTTTAATCGTAATAAATTTGACCTTTTGTGTGTCTGGTTGCCTTCTAGAAGGAGAGCTGGAAGATGTAGGGTTATTGATATTTATAAATTAAAGCTATAGATTATATGTGAAAAGTCTCCACTGTCAATTTATCAGCTGTGTCAAATGTCCTCAGACCACACCTGTTCAAAGGCTGGATGGCCCTAGATTGCATGCAGCACTGTTTTCTCAACAGCATCCGAGGAACTGAGCTGTGAATCTGGATACCATAGCTATGGTAGTCAGCAATGATGAGCAACACTTCTTAAATGACCATGCATATTGGGTTGTGAACATCTAACGCTGTTATTTTTTTCAATTCGTTTGTTTGTTTTGTTTGCTTGTATATTTAGATTATTACTTTACCCACCAGACTTAAAAGAATGAATGAGACTGTATCTGTTTCAGCATACCAGTCAATATCACATAGATAATAAAATACATAACTGCATGTAATTCAGTGCTGGTTGTACTGGCAAGGACTCAACAAGTAGATACTGAGCCCAGGAAAATCCCTTGAGGCCAAGACAGGAAGCTGAAACCCAATTACTCGTCCTTGTCTTGGGGACGATCATAAAGACTCAACACACAAAGTATTTCTGTGTTGACTTGCACGGTATTGATTCATACTTTAGTGCATTATATTAAACTGTTCTAATTGCATGTGAATCAAATCAAGGTCACCTTGGCTTTTTATAATGGTGGCTATTTTTCTTTTTCCCCTAATACTTTATACTGACATTTTTAACTCTTGACAAGTGCTGTCTGGAGACTTATCCATAAATAATGCATTTACAATACCTAGTAAATAAACATGGGGCACAATCGTTAGCCCTGCTGGCAACTGGGCCTAATAGAGCTTTTACAGCAAAGGTGACTATTCAGCTAAATGCGGTGCTCGCTGCTGGGGGAACATTTTCATTCATTAGCACAGTCACAAGCACTTAAAGCACTTTAAGGACCAGAAATGGAGAGGAAGGGTGGAAGGATAGAGAGGGTGAAAGGGTACAACTATATAGAGATGAAGGGATGGAGGAGTTATACCTACAATACTGAGCAGGGCCTCTATTGTTATAGTGTTTATAAAGCATCATGATCAATTAAGGAAATTGGCCAATAATTTTAATTGAATGGAGAGTATTAGCTGAAGAAGTCAGAATATTAATATTTATTTATGTATTTGCTCAGGTATTGTCTTAACCAACAAAAATATTTTCCCACTTAGCCCTGACCATCCAGTTACTGTATTATCTGGCACAGAGGCGATTGGAACTTCATTTGTGTTTTTCACAGCGTAACAAAAATCACACTATAAAACTCAACTGTATGAAGCACTGAAAGAGCTAATAAAGACAGTCAACAATATTTGGATACCATGTCCATAAAGCTTTTCAACCCAAAGCTTCCACCAGTGTTAACATCACTTTAAGTTGAATTTCATGTTCCATATATATATATATATATAATATATATCTATATAATCCAATTTATTGTGTAAAAAAAAAAAATGTACCACAGACTATTTGTTTGCCTCTGCACTTGAGGTCATGGTGTTTATCCTCAGTGCATCAGGACAATGAACTTTCTTGACCAGACAAGCAAGCCCAGAGAAGAATGGTAGCAGATGGTTAAGAGTCTCTGAGGACCCCGGTGATCCCGACCAGGCAGGCACCAAAGCAGCAGAATGAGACACAACAGTTGTCATGCTTATATTTAGCTCATCTGTAGCCTGTGCTACATTAGCAACATCATTAAGACAACAAATGGCTTCTCCAACCTTCTTGTGTGTTCTTTAATAGGATAATCCTGCCCTTTTCAATTTCCAACTGTGTCTCACTCCATAAAGAAAGACATAAGATTATGATTTGTCAAAGGTTTCTGTGAGGTTTTCCTCTGGCAGTTTTTATAAGAGTCCCTCTCCCTCCATTTTACAGTAATCACTGATCATCACCACTGAAGCTTCCTCAAGTGCTCTCAAGAACAGAGTATCTCTCAGTTCCTGCAGCTTGGGGACAGCATACTGAACTTTGTGAGCCTCTTGTCTTCTGCTGTGTTCCCTGCTCAGAAACTAATTTCCTGCAACAAGGGAGTTTATTTTGGTGGCGATGATACACAGCGCATGAGGCAGACCAAGTCTCTATTATTAACAGGAGATTAAAACAGCTGTATGGCACTCTAAAGCACCCTCTCCTCCCTGTACTAACATACGGCCCTGGATTACAAGCTGCACTTGACCATTTAAATTACTGCAACAACCAGCCTTCACCAGCTGGGGCTCATTACCATAACACCCGCCGCTGCTAACATAGAGCACTGCCCTGAAAATCAACTCTGCAAGAAACAAGACACATATGAAATATATTCTTACCTAAGGGTATAACACAGATATAGCAGCAGAGCAGCTTTGCTTTTTTTACTAACCAAAATTTGTCCTGGAAGTTGCTGTGGGCAGCCAGATCTAAGCCCAATGGCAAGAATACTGTCCCTAGTAATGTCCCTAATATTTATGTCTGTTGTTGTGGAAGAAAACTAGAGCATTCAGAAGAAGCTGTTATGAAGCCAGGGAAAGCATGAAAACATCTGACTCAGGCAAATGTATCTGCTGTATTGTAAAGTGATTGTGATATTCATTAGGGCCTTTTGCCTTTGGATTTTGTTTTATTATACATTTTGGTAAATTGCCTATATCAGTGGTCATTAAATAATATAACAGGTATTGATTACAATATAAATAGCCTCAATGGGCATAAAGGGTAAAACTAGAATTACTGCATCGTGGTTGTATGTCTCCGCCAACCACCCAAGTTGCAGGAAATATGGTCACATATCTCCTTCCTGAATTACAGCATTGAATAATGACCAGAAGAACATTATGATGTCACAGTGAAATTCACCTTTGACATCCTATTAGACATTTATGTTAAATTGTGTCATAGCATATGAATTTGTGATTTATGGCCAAAAACGTGCTTTGTGAGGTCACAGTGACCTTGATCTTTGACCGTTAACCATCAAAATCTAATCAGTTAATCCTTGAGTCAAAATGGACATTTGTGCCATATTTGAAGAAATTCCCACAAGGTGTTACTGAGATACTGCATTAACAAGAATGGGAAAGACGGACGGACAACTGAAAACATAAGCCCTGGCTGTTATCGGCGGAGAGGCATAAAAATGCTGGCATGCATATGTGCACCAGCATGTTTTGTGTGTTTAATGTTTCAAATACATTTTGACGTTTGTTGATCATTTTGATCCAATTCAATAATCCAAACTTTTCAGTTTTCTTAATAATCTCCGCTTTGTTGGTGTTCAGATGAATAAGGACTGATTGTTCTGTCTTTTATTATCTAAACAACATGACAAAATAATCACTCCCCATATCACAATGTGGCTAAATGATTATCTGCTGAGAGGCCTGTGATGCTCTGATACAAAGATCACCAAACGAACACTTAAAAAAGAAGTGGCAAATTATTTTTAGGCTAACAGAGGTCTAATTTATTCGTCTGATGAAGTGCTTAAGCTAAGAGCTCCCCAGACACTAAATGAGACACATGCATTCCCAAGGGGGTTTAACATTTGATTGGATGTAGTTATATTACTACAGCCCTAATTAAGAAGGGGGATGTGTTTCAGCAGCTCTTTCAAATATTTGTTTTTCCGCCATACCCTTGATAGACTGCAGGCTGTGGGAGGGAGAGCCGAGCTGGGTGAAATGGGGTGCAGATATGACAGAGACCTAACAGTCTTATCATGGAAAAAGTTTTTTTTTTTTGTGCTAGTAGTAGTAAGGAAATAAAACCTATGAAATCTTCATGGTGTTTCGAATAAGATGAATTGATTAGGCACACAAAGGTAAAATCCACGAGAGAGGCTTGGGTTGTTTGTGGGTAGTGAACTTTGATGAACAACTGTGCAGAGTGAAAAGTGTTCTGTGTGGAGCAAAATAAAGAGAGGTAATGTTCCTGGCATCGGGTCAGCACTATGAGTTTTATAGTCAAAGAGTTTGGCTTGGCACGGAAGAAGACCACACTTATGCTGAGGTGCACTGCCACACAGTCTTTGTCACATTGGAAGAGGTTCAGAACAAACTGGAAACACTGTAACGTCAGAATTCCCAGCTTGTGTGTTCCCGGATGGGTGTACGAGACGGAGAGATACAAATAAAAAGAGGTGGACAGTCAGAAAATTATAAAAAGAAAGAGGGAAAAATTTAGGATGAACAGGCGCACGTAGGAGGAAAAAGGTATTCCTACGCCCATACCCGAAACACACACACACACACACACACACACACACACACACACACACACACACACCGTACCGTCTTGCTCTGTCTTTGTCATCTCCTCCAACTTCTTCTGCTTCAGCGTGTCCACTACATCTGCCAGGCTTCCTTTGCGGCGCTCCGGAGTTCCAAACGCTGATCCGCTCAGCAGGTCGCTTCGCTCCCGGGCCCCCTCCTCCGGCTTGTGTGGGGAAGTAGAATTGTTCCGGAAGGAGTACAGGGAACATACTTTATTGCTGTCAGATTCCTGTAAGACAAACAAAAGTTGGAAGGGGTGACAACAAGGGATGGGATTTGTATTAAATGATGAGGGTGTAACTGTGTTCTGTCAGGGCTCCATTGAGCTTTTTGACAGGTTTTCATTCAAATGCAGTGATTGCTAGGTGTTTGCAGCTCAGGGGCGATATGGCCATATCAAATGGCTCCTCTCTGGCTTTCATACGGCAGCTTCTTCAACAGAGCTAGCTGCTCCGGTAAATGAGATATGACAAGTGAAAAATTGAGATGAAATGATGAGGTATACTTTCATAGGGCATATCCATAATGTGCTCAGGCTTTACTTTTCATCTGCATAGACTACACAGAGAAACCTCCCAACTGTAATTTCTCAAATTGCTTTTGAGTGTGCATTTGTGTTAGGGTGACTGCTGTGTAATTTGTTCATTTTCTACTGGAGACCTATTCTCAGCTGAGTGCCTTGAGCCATCGTACATCTGTGTCCTGTCTCAAGCTGTTGTTGTTTTTCAGTCCCACCTCTGTATGGTTTAGTATTTAACTAAGGGTCCTGTCTGTGACTGACTGGCTGAGTGCTCCCTGTGCACAAACAGAGACATAAAGGAAATGGGGAGAAGAATTGGAGAGAGCTTGAGGGGGAGAGAGAGGGAAAGAAAACTCTGCACATGGGAGTGTACAGTCAGCACACATACACCATGGCTGAGGGTTGTGTCTGACAGAAGGTGGTGTTAATTATGGTTTTTGGAGTCTGAGAATGCAGAAAAGTAGCTAAGCAGCCAGGAGTTTGCAGCCTGTTCCCCAACGAGGGAACAGTTAGTTCTGATTTAAGCTCTGGCCCTCATAGTGAAGAGAATAAACATGACACACATCTGTATCCAACACACGCTGCTCACCTATCGTGGAAAAGTGAGCTTTAATCAAGAGCAGTGTGATAACAGAGTGTAATGCAGCAGGGTTAAATGATACAACCACGTCTGGAGCCACTGACAATCCTAAATAAAAAATCAAGAATGCGGTAAACTGGGCAGGAATGTTGACGGTGCCAATTTCTCATCCCTGCGTGGCATGTCGAGCCCCAGGCAGAGTTGCAGTGGTGTGTAGGACGGTCTGGTACCAAGCGCCAGGGTGGCACGACCGACCCGCCTACTCTGCACCTCCCGGCCCTGTGTTGGATGATTATGCAGTGTGGCAGAGACAGTGGAGAGTGCTTGAGGGGAGTGGAGCAGTGCTGGGTTAATCAGCTGGCGCGGGTTCAGGGCACAGCCCACACAGACGCATGGCACAGCAGTGGAGTCAGGTAATCAGCAAAAGCAACACTCTCATTCCTTTCGCCTTATGCCTTTCCCTTTTCTTCTCTCTATCTCTCCCTGTCCTCCTCCATTTTACCTTTCCTCTCTCTCTTTTTTTTGCTCATTTTCTCTTTTTACTCTCTTTGTGTGACCTTCCTCTCACTTACTCGTTTAACCCATCATTCCTTTTAGGTAACTTCTTAACATAAATCCAAGCTGAAACATTTATACTCCTTACAGTGCAATATATCAGCTGGCATTCTCCTTATGACACAAGATCAAGGCTATAGGAGATGATAATATTGAGATGCTCATTCATTCAACCGTTGACATTTAGAATAGCCATCATTCACCCATTTATGATGTGATGTACTCAAATCTGTTGTCAGACTTGTATAAGCCTTTCATATTTCTTGAGGTTAATTTGATGGCTGCTAGCCTGGTTTATCTCAGTAAAAGACCTACTTTAAAAATAACATTTTGACCTACAGTTTTTATAAAGGTGTTGTCGACACCACTACTCTAAGCTCATCAGTTACATGACTTTTTTTCTCTGAGAGGATTGATATTATAACATAAAACAACCTTCGCAAGGATTTTCTTAAGATGTTTAACGGTATAATGTGCAAAAAAAAAAAAATTACAACTGCATTTAATATTATAATTTCATCAAATGTGATGATTGGGTTTTTGTGTGTCACCTCTAATATTTTTTTTCCATTTTATCTTATTGAAGATGGTTTGTTTGTTCATATTTTTCCATCATTCAGGATTGATATGACTTGACTTTTTGTTGCCATATTTTAAGGAAAACAGTACTTTAAAGAGCTGCTATATAAATAATTAGTAGTATTCCAGTGCTTATAATTTTGTTTAAATATTGGTTGTAGTGGTAGGGATTCATATAGTTTTTCTGTGTTTTTCAAACTTGCTAAAATCCTGTTATTGACATGTAACATGTAATGTGACACAGATGAAGATAACACCTGACCAATCCTTTGCTTCTCAATAACCTACACTGTCACAGCCCAGCATCACAAGGAGCAGTCTGTTTGTGTGTGTGTTGTGCTGCAGTGCTGAGGTGTTGAGGGTCTCAGTGGCCAACTGCAGAGCTACTTCAGAGGCCCTCTGGGTCTCTTTACCTCAGACCCGTCTGTCACAGACAACCACCTGCATCCCATGTCTATAGCTCACAAGTGGCTGCGCTCTTCTTAACTCCGCTCACATCAAAGCAGCTCCGCACTTACAATGTACAGCGTCTGGGTCTGGCTGCAGATATAGCTTACACGCAACAAGAAAAACAACACACATGCACCAAGGACAGGTCATGTTTTTTTAATAGCAACAAGAATGCAAGCTAAAGGAAATACATAAGGCTACATTCCCTTCCATCGGTCATGATGCAATTTTATGTCACATTATCGAAGGGCGAGTTAGAGGTACCCTGTTAAACCTAATAATAGGTGACTGGTTTAGCATTGTGGCTGAGCTGCCTATTTGAAGAGACCAGAGTCGCAGAGGTTTCACAGCATTAAGGAACCATGGAGCTGGAGCTAAGGATGTAGTATTGGCGGAGCTTCTTTGTACAAGCCAGGAACAATGAGAGCCAGCTGAGCCTGGATCTTGAATACCCACGGGAGGACAGTCGGACACTAGCAAACTCATAGGTTTGAAATGGTCCTAAAGAAACTTTTACTTCATCATTTATACTTCCACCCCACAACTATTCCCAGTTTCTTTTATTCCATTGCTACCACAGAGAAATCAAAAAAAAGAAAAAAAGAAAAGGGTTGAGAGTTTAAACTGAGCAGTTTTGGCAGAGTTTAGCAAACTTTACTTCCATTGGAAATCATTCACTGAATCTTCAGATATATCTGAGTACTATACTTCTCTCTATTACCTGTCCGTAAATTAAATGAGCCCAGGGTGTCATCTCATTCTGTTCTGCCAAATGGAAATTCATAGTGGTTTACTGTTGAAATTTGGATTGTCAAGTCCATTTTGTAAGGTATACTGTGTTATTCCCAGCCCCACCAATCCAATGATAATATACCTTGTAATGTGACTAAAATGGACAAAAACATCAATACGCTCCTTATTCCACTTTTACCCGCAAAAGAGGTATATGTAACTGTAAACTTTGTTGAATTTTGAAATGTTTGGCATGAGTGGTTCTCTAGCATCAGCATAGGATCTTTTTCGTATGTACTATGAAGTATGTTGACATGTCTCACCATACGCTGTTGGGCTGACACCAAGCTGTCCCAGTCGCTCTCTGGCGGTACGCTGCTGAGCGGCTGCATTTCATCGGGATGGGCTTTTCCGTGCAGCAGACTGTGCAGGGGCAGCTGTGGTGTGCCATGGGCCTCGGCACTGTCCTCTTTCTCCCAAGACAAGTGCTCCTGACTCATGGCATCATCCCCATCAACCACGGAGGCGAAAGGAGACGTGGCTTGCTTGGAAGACATGACTCTGCTGTGAAGAAAGAAAAGGAGAGTAGAGTCAAGAAAAAGAAATGATCTTACGAGGATCATCAGCAATATATGAAAAGGAATGCTGTTTCCTTGAGTATTTCATATGCGACTGGCAAGTCCATTCAAGTGATTGCACGTGGCTATAACTGAGATTATAAGTGTTGCACCTGAGCAGATAAAACTGAATGGACTGAATGCTCTACCTGACTTTTGTCTGTTGTTACTCTGGCCTGTGGAGTTTGGAATAGGCCGTGAGGTCTCTAATCCTTTGTTTAATGCAGATGGATGGCTTGATCTAAGGCTGGAACTGTGCCTGTTTGGGTCCTGGCCCAAACCCCAAGACAGTTAGTCAAGTTAGTCAGGCAGTAGGTCAGCCAGGCAGTGGGACTACCATCCAGATTAAAAGTAAAAAAAATAAATAAAAAAAACCCTTGTTAACTCCTCGTACATAGAGATGTAAAACAAGGTTTCTTTTTCCTGTGATGATCATATTTTTATTTTTTATTTTCTAAGCTACCTGAGTAATCTCCTTCATCTCTCATGTTGATTTGTCTTGGTCCTTCAAGCATCTTATCATTTCACTCCAAAGCCTTCAAACAAAGATCAAAACCGGCCCCGTCTTCTTTTGTTTCCACTCATCAAATTAGGAAATTTTTTACATTTTGCTGTGACAGTGCTCCCCAAGGCCAACAAATCCTACTTAAGCAGTTTAAATATCAAAAGCTAACAGTGGAGGACTGAATTCACAAATCTGTCACATTTTTCATGAATAATACAGTGAGTTAGAAGAGTGTACTTGACATATAGTATCAGGTGCAAAAGAAACTTGTATTAATTCTAATTTCTTTTCTTCTTTTTTTTACCCTTTATAACCCAACTCTTTTTGGTGCAATATTTATAAAACCAATTCTGCTTTTTCTCACAATTAATGAGGCTGCACTCATGCTGTGTGCTACAATGAATGAAATTAAACACTGTGCCAGCAAATCTAATTATGCATTTGGTATTAAATTAAAAAGGGGATAATATGGCCTTCCTACGGATGTGAAGTGGAGAGAGGGAGCTGGAGCATATTTAACTCCTAATCCACTTTTCCCTGAGCTGTTGTTCTGCTTATTTTTCTCAACTACAGGACTTTGACCAATTCAACTAGAATGTAACTATTTAGGGCTCGATCTTATCTAGAGGATGAGTGTATGTCTGTGTGTCGCTGTGTGTGAGAGAGAGAGGAAGAAGAAAGACAAATTGGGGGGTGTGGAGGTATGGGTCTGTTTCTATGTGACAAAATGCTCAGGGTACTTCTTGTAATACATTTCATCACTGATCACCATCTGCCCCGTTCTCCTGCTCTATCCACAGGGGTCAGTGTGACAGCACTTTAGTTGCACCCTCAGCTTGCCTAGGGGGGGTTTTGGGGGGGGGGGACTCTCAAGGTTGAGGCAGGCTGTGGTGCGATTGTGTCCTTGCACTTTCCGCTGGCAGTTGAACACTGAGAGATAGGCAATGACATCTTCCATTTAAGAAAAGACTTTATGAACAAGATCTTTGGGTCTAATAGTTCTTGGTCTTACTCAAGGAAATCTGTCAAGTGAGGTGTATTGTCCATGTACACACACTGTTGAATTGTTGTTGCCTTTGAATGTTTACAGGCAAGATGATTTGTATAGCGCCTTTGAAGAACAAAGTCAACTTGAGGTGCTTTACAAAGTGCAAAAAGCAACATTTAAAAGACAACAAGAAGGAAAATACAACAAATTTGAAAAGGATAAACATAACATAAATTATGATAAAATACAGTGCAAAAATTACTGTGCAATTACAGTTCCATAATAAATAGCAGGAAGGTTTTTAATCTTGATTTAGAATAGTTGGAGCAGACCTGAGACTTTCTGGACATTTATTCTAGATATGTCACATAGAGAAATTAAAGGCAGTGTCACTATGTTTTGTTTAAACACTCAAAACAGTAAGCAGACCTGCAGGGAATTAATGCCGAAGCAGATCAGACATAATTCTACTCTGAATTATTATTCAGAAATGTGCACTGGTATATCCAAATACAACAGTCTCTGTGCCTTACCACACTCTTGCTGACTCTCAGTCCCTGACACACAGACTCACTCTCACTCTCACACACACACACACACACACACACACACACACACACACACACACACATATACACACACACACACACACATATTCACAGATCAGCATGGGCAGTGAAGGCTGACCTAAACAATGGTAGCCAAAGTTAATCTCATGTGTCTCAGCAGCTGTACAAACAAAGCCAGTAAGTCAGGTAGATGTCAGGGCAGACTATAAGGCCTGTGCCTGACTGCATGTCTATCCACCTGTCTGTCAGCCAGTCCCGCTGTCTTTTAGCCTCTGTGCCTGGATGTGTTGCTGAATGTGTCTTTTAGTGGGACTCAGCCCTCAGTGTTAATCAGCCATTAAATTGTTTCCTGTAATTATATCAAATAGAAAGCGATCTCAGAATTGGGCACTGTTAATTGAAAATCAAAAGTCAGAGCAAAGTTCAGAGTATGCATGTAATGGTAAGAGGGGGCAGAAGTGGGGTTTGTGCGTGTGCGTGTGCGTGTGCGTGTGTGTGTGTGTGTGTGTGTGTGTGTGTGTGTTGTGAACACGTGTCAAGCACGTAGATTCTTTTTTTTATTTTTTATTCATGCACCCAGAAAGCCCAAGCCTGGAGTGCAACAAGCACCTCGTCCTCAGTGGAGTGTGAGAGTGAAACAAAGCACTACTTTTGTATAACACAGTAAATCAAGGGGTATTATTTTACCACTAAAATATTCAGTCTCTCAGGCACTTTTACTTTGGTCCCCAGCCATCAGTCAAACTGCTGAGGCGTGAGTGAGAGAAGGGGATAGAGGAAGAGAAAAGGAGAGAGGGAGCGATGGAGACTCCGTCCTCCTGTAACATGTGTCTACAGCAATCTTGTTAAAGAATGCAACAGATCTGCGGCAGGCTCAATAACAGTATTTGTCAGCAGGAGTTAATAATTTATTAGCAGTGCTGGGAGGGCTGCGCTCAGGCAGCTAAAGAGTGCGGAGAACCCCCTCTGCCCCACCCCCACCTCTGACAAGCCCCATACAATACTACCTCAATTTATTGAAAGGGAAATGGAGAAGTGAAGCAATAATTCTCTGAAAATATCTGAGGGCAACCATACGGTGTTTTATTCCTCATATTCTGAGCAGGGATCACACAGCACTGAGATCTAAAGGGGTTTGTGTGCAATAGATCAGCATAGACACAACAAAGACATTTGATGAGGAGCAAAATACATAGAAGAAATCAGTTGAATGTGGGTGCTACCGATGCATGTAGAATCAGATCATATTTACTTATAGAATAACACTGCTTACAGCCCTGGCCTCCATGCTCTCAAAATAAAATCAGCAAAACAGCCCTGTTTGTACAACTTCAGTGTATTCTGATGCTGTTGAAATAACTTTACTCACATTAATAATTGAATCAGTTTCTTTGGAAAACAAGACCAAAATGTGCTTGTACATACTAAACAGTGAAAATAGGGTGAACTGAAGAGGTAGCTCATAAATCCTTGACTAGCCGCCCTCTCTCATGCTTGATTACACAATAACAATGGACAACTAACAAACCAGAGTAATCAATAAGTGCATGAAACACTGCCTGCCTGCCTACTTTCTCAAAGACAAAGCCCCAATGACTTTGAAGACGTGAGGCAGAGACGAGGGAGGGTCAGTTAGAAAAGAGAACTGGTCTATATATAGCTGACAATATTGCACACATTTGAAGGATTAAGACTTAAGTTCTCCAGCCGTGGGCTCATGTGGCCTGGAATGCTTTGAGTCATGAATTGTTCCCTGCGATAATGTTTCATCATCGTGCAAAACAACCTCTGCTTAATTGGTGAGTATTAGAGGAGTGTTGTGCACTGCTCATCTTAGGGGTCTTGTGACTGCGGCACCATATGTCCCCAGCTATCCCATTTCCTCTTTCATCATAAAAGGGTCTGACTGACTTTCACCCACTGTATCTGCTCTGTCACACTGTTTACCTTTTATAGACAATGGTGATATGTAACTCCACACCGTCTTCCCCACCACCCTACCCCACCCACATGCCCACTTGTCTCACTGCTGACGTCTTGCACCTTCAAGTTCCAAGAGAGGAGAATATTACACCCTCTTTCTTCACGTTATCAGCCGACAAAAGAGAAAATCAAATAAATTATTAACAAAAAGGCAGGGTTTTTTAAAAATGTGGTGGAAAGCAGGTAATGACAGATAAGGGGCTTTAACTTTCCATGTGTAATGCTGTGTACTCATGCACAGCATGCATGCATAAGGTAGGCTCATATTCAAACATATAAACTATAAAAGAATAAAAAATACAATTGTAAGAGATATAGCATATGCTAATTCTTTTAAGTAAAAGTCTATTCAAATTTTGTCGTTAAGAAAATGCCATCTATCACCAGGCATAAAAAAGGAACAGTTGGCATAACACTTAAAGAGCCAATTTACTAAGTCACTATGACTGTTCTGTCATTCTGTTAAGAAACAGAGTTTGCTTAATTAAATCAATTTCCAAACAATGTTAACAACCTTAGAAATAAATCGTATCATTGGTAGTAATCTTTTAAAGTGAGGTGGAATTAGATAAAGAAAATAGTTTAGGAGCTGTAATCCGTGTGTGTGTGTGTGTGTGTGTGTGTGTGTGTGTGTGTGTGTGTGTGTGTGTGTGTGTGTGTGTGTGTGTGTGTGTGTGTGTGTGTGTGTGTGTGTGTGTGTGTGCGCGTGCGCATATGTGTGTGAGAGAGAGAAAATCATCTGTGTGTTTCCCTTCAGGGGTTCCTCCTGTTCTAACAGGTGTCGTGGTAGGGTTCCTCTGGGTTCTTCACCTGCCATAATGAGATATTACTACCTGACAGCTCCCAGCTGGAGGAGCATTGACACGGAATCCACCGTTTAGCACAATTAAATTATCACCCTC